TTGAACCGCCAGCCTTCTGGTTAGCAGTCAAGTGCCTTAGCCACTATGCTACCAGAGCTCCTAAACATATTGTTATCTAGAGTTTATTCAAAAAAGCAATTTCCAGGATGTGTCAGAGGATCTGTGTGGTTTCAGCTTTACTCCTGTCCTTTTTACATCTGTGGTTCTAGAGGAATGGTAATTGATGGTCATTTAAGCATTTCAAGATACAGAAATGTCTTTTGAATGATCCATAAAAATTAATTATGTTTTCATTCAGAGACCATATATTAAGCCTCCCTTGTGCCAGGTTCTGTGCAGGGAATACAGAAACTAATAAAACAGTCTGCTTGAATGCAAAAAAACACACTGCCGTCTGCTTGCATAGCCTATTAAAATAATTCTGGATGAGTGGAAATTTTCATGTTAGAGATACCAATCACCATTAATCTAGTTTCCACGTTCCAATTCATTCTCTAATTTTAAATACCTGCCCACAAAAGCTGTTTAAAAGTGTGTGTGTTACTATATATAATATGTAGAAATATGTAATATATGCTGTATATATACAATATACATACACTATGGATATGTATATCTCTGTGTGCGTGTGTGTGTGTGTATTTCAGAAATAATTTTAAAAGAGATATGCATTTCTAAAAATCTAGCGAAAGGCTATATCCATTCTCTTTTATGCTTATTAAGATCCTAATTAAATTATTCTCTTCTTTATGAAATATCTATGAGAGTTGAATAAAACATGGTTATATATTATTAATTCCTTTTTGGTTATACTGTGGCATTAATATCATTAAGAAAAATTGATGCCATCCTTAAGGCCAGAATTTTTTGCTAATTAGTGCAGGATTTAAAGCCATTTGATTGTTGTCAGAATTCAAAAAGCAGGGTCTTTATTAAAATTGTGGTAGTTCTTAGAACTGTTTTTCTTGTTAAAATGAATCAACTTAGATTATAGGGATGATTGGGGGAAAAAAGTGAATTATTTTTGATACTGGATAGCCTAGAGTTAGAAAAGCAAGTAATTAAAAATGTAGGAAGTGATATATAAATACATGGATAAGAATTCCAGCACTTGATAATCCATTCTCCTTCCTTCTTCCCTAATGTTCATTCTAGCAGGCTGCATCATGAATGCATAAACTCATGCAGAGCCATGGGCGCCTATTCTTAGTCAGCGATCTAGAGACAATGTTGGCAGTGTACACCTAAACAAACAGGAACCCTCTTACTGTAAAACAAAACAAAACAAACCTCACTGCTGTAGAGTTCATTCAACTCATAGCGACCCTTCCTTGGGTTTCCGAGGCGGTATCTTCTTACTGTAGAGACTAGTGAAAGGTGGTTTCATAATGGTCAAGAGTGCTGTGTTTCACTAAGCATAATTTGTAGTGTAGCCTAACTGATGCCCTTTAACTCTGGGGTATTTTGTCATGTTCACTATAGACCTAACTAACCTGTTGACCTTAGGCTCTCTAACCCTGTTTTATGTTGTTGTTGTTATGTGCCGTGGAGTTGGACCCTACTCATAGTGACCCCTCCTTGGGTTGCTGAGGCAGTATCACTACGGAAGTAGATTGCCCAACCTTCCTTCCGAGGAGTGGCTGGTGGGTTTGAACCGCCAGCCTTCTGGTTAGCAGTCAAGTGCCTTAGCCACTATGCTACCAGAGCTCCTACCCTGTTTTATAGCCCCTGGAAAATAATTGCTTTAATATATATGGACATAGCTTGAATTTCTTTTTTTAAAAATTAATTTATTTGAAAGATGTAACTGCCCCTAGACTGTAGCTGCTTAGCTGAACAATCCAAAACTGTTAAATAAGAGATACTGATAGAAAAAGGAATTGTTTTACTTGTAAAATTCGTTCAGTTGGGGTTGATTAGAATTATACCAAATAACTGAAGAGGAAATAACAAATTACCATATCACAGTTCATCTTTGACTGTTTTTAATGAGAACTTTGCAGTTGGAATCAGACTAGACCTAGACTCAAATTCTGGTCTAACCACATTACTAACTTTGTGACTTTGGGTAAGTTATTTGAATATTCTGTAGTTCATTTTCCCTACTTGTAATATAAAATAAATTATAATAGTACCTATTACATTGGATTGTTTTAAAGATTAAATGAGATAATGGGTGTTAAATTCTTAGTAAGTACCTGATACACAGGGACTATTCAATCAATAAATGGTAGCTGTTATGGTTATCTTTTTAAAATTAGGTGTTACAAATTAATTTTAACTGCAAATAACAAAATTTGATGGCATTCTTGTGTAAACAGTAAAATAGCAAAAGCAATTACTATGACACTAAAAACCCTCTGTGATGACAGTTTTGAACCAGTCTTTAAGTTAGTTTCAGTTCTTGTTCGTTTCTGACCTGGAAAGTTTTTTTTTACAAATATATATATCATCTTCCATGATATAGAGTGTCCAAAGTATAAAAAAGATAATTCAGTCAGTATATTCTGTAGTCAGATGATTGGCAATAGTGTCAGATTATTTCTCTAAATAATCTTGTCCCTGTGAATTATATGACACATTTTCATTTTCCTTTCTCTCTGCTTTTTAATAACTTTTAGATCTCTAGTGGAAGAGGAAGACCAACACATGAAATTATCTCTCGGAAGCAGCGAAATGGGCCTCTCATCCCATTTGCAGTCTTCCAAGGCAGGAGCTACACGCATCTTTACCAGCAATACCCACAGTTCTGTGGTGTTACAGGTAATATCAGCTTTCTGTTTTGTAGTATTTAAACAGCTTTAAAGACCCACCAGGGCAGGAATCTCGAGGGGGAGCTGCATACCTTCTTGATGTTAAAAAAAAAAAAAATCCCCAGGGCTAATTCTTTGTTTTGTTTACATGAAGGAGGTCTTCCTCTCATGCCACTTTCTTACAGATTACCATATATGGCAACACTGACCTTTCATTGCATAGTTGCCAAAGTAAATATAACAAGGTCCCAACATTAAATTTTCTATTGTTCACTTATAATCTGTTTTATTATCACCTTAAGCATGGATCTAAAGATCATATTCACCTGATGTCTCAACCCATATTTACAATAGTACATGTGGGAGTAGGGGTGAGGAGTGCTGGATGCAAACACAGTGTTCGATATAAGAAGTAATGATAGAAAAGCTGTAAAGAACTTAAAGAACTCAAAAAGCACAGCCATTTGGAGCTATTTAGCATAAGAATAAGGAGGCCTGGTGGCCCAATGGTTAAGTATTTGACTGCTAACTGAAAAGCTGGCAGTTCAAACCCACCCAGTGGCTCTGCAGGATAAAGACCTGGTGATCAATTTCTGTAAATATTACAGCCAAGAAAATGCTCTAGGACAGTTCTCCTCTGTGATGTGGAGTCACTGTGAGTTGAAATTGACTTGATAGCACACAACAACAACAGCATAGGGATAAGCAGCCCCATGTACTGCTGACCTCTGTGCACCTCTCTGACCTCTAAGGATATTACTGAATTAGAGCACAATAGGATACTGGGTGTCCAGAAATAGTTGTATTATATTAGTGTTCTCTGTTTAGTAATATAAAGAAAATGCATCTTTCTAAGTGTGTATTTTTTTTTAATCTCCCCAAGTGAATTTCACACATACTCCCAGTCAAGAACCAGCATGGGAAGAATGGGAAGAAACAAGTCTTTGACAAACCTAATGGTGTTTCAGTAGTTTAAAAATGAAGCAATGATCTTCCAAGGCCAAAAACTCTGTTCTGTTCATGTAAAAACAAAATTATCACAGCATGACTGTACACTCTTACATTCATAGACCTTAAAAACACTCTCAGTAGGAAATGCTAAGGGTTCCTGCTGATGACTGACTCCAGAGCTGGTCCCCCTTATGTAGGATAATGTCCTTCTCTCAAGTCAAATTAAATACCTCCTTTGGGCCCAGCCCTTTGTTAACGTCTATGAGACAAGAGGCTTAGACTTGTTGTGTGGCCTTGATGTGTCATATGATTTTTGGGGGGCCCCATTTTCCTTATCTCCAAACTGCTACTCTTGAGTACAAGATCCCTAAATTCCATACTAGCTCTGACCTTCTGTGATTCAGTGAGATTTCATTTTCCCAGTCTCTCACGTTTCTTTTTTTTTTTTTTTT